GAAACAGAAGTGAAACAAGAAAGGAAGAAAACCTAGGAAAAAGAAGTAAATTCCAAGAAAAAATTACCTGGGGAGTTTGGGCGATTTGCTGGCTCGGCTGATTTTGGGGGATTTCTTTGCTGCCCAGTCATCACTCAGTTCGATATCGCTGGAGTCGGAGCAGTTGCAGCTGTCAATCACAGTGGAAATCAAGCTGTTTCCATAGATTTCATCTATCAAGACAGGCCCCAAAAAATGTAAGTGCTGCTTCAGGAAACAGACCCAACTACAACTATCCTTCATCAGAAGAACCTGATCCACCAGCAGTAGCTGAGATAAAATTGTGCAGAGATAATTAACTGTTTTTCACCCTGCCTAGTATAAATTCAAAATTTCTAATGGCTTGAACTCAACTGAGCAGTGTTCAGTGGGGTGAACAGCATTCAGGTGACTTCAAAATTGAGAATAAAGAGCATTTTCTGTCAATTAGCAATCTATTCCCCACCACTCAGAATACAAGAAATTCCCTTTTGTGAACCAGAAGACAGTATGCTATTATTTCAGATGCTTGAACTTAGTTTATACTGAGGCTTTTCACATGAGAAAAATCATTTCAGATGCCATCTTTCATGTTGCATCGAAGACTACAGAGATATAGAGATTTTTCAGTAATTTATCAGGATTTAAGATCTAGATCATTTCTAAATCATTCTTATACAGAGCCACAATTCACTTCTACCTGCTTTCCCATCTGTTTTAGGATCCATGATGACAAACTCTGGCCGTAACTTGCTGATACGCCGTCCTTTCAGGATAGGCACCAATCCCCCAAGGTATTCCAAGTACAGAGTGTAACACGGACCACCGACCTCTGGATCATCCTCTGTCCGCTTCATTGTGCAGTGGAGTCGTTCGTTGCCAGCTGTTGGGTAGCTGACAAAATCTCTCATATTGTTTGGGTCTGGGATAGGAGGCTTAATTGAATGAAGGAAGGAAAAAGAAAGGTTCCTATAGGTTACTATTTTTTTTTCCCTGTGGCTACTTAATCCCAATCCAACTAATCAAATTTGAATCCGTATCTAATTTAAGAGGCCAGGATTAGGGCAGGTTACTGTATGAGCTGATAGCTTTAAGTGTAACTACCCTGACAGTGTGAGGACTCATGCAGCAAGCAGGGAAACAATAGTTTTATCATGGCACAGTGTTACCATCAGCAGAATCATCTTCACAAATCTTGGTGATTCACAAGTGCATTTTACCCTTGGTAAGTTCCTGGACAGGCCATCCTCATAAGACAATGCAGATTAGGATGTGTGACCCTTCTTCTCAGTTTCAGCAGACGTTAAAGAAACCCCCTTTCCCCCTTGCCCAAGAGAGTACATCTTTCATATTCCTCTTTCCTAGCTGGAAATCAGCAGCTAGAATGCTGGGCTCTTGATAAGGAGTGACCCTTAAATCAAGCTCTTTCAGCCTTCTCTTACGCAGGACCAGGATTTTATCCATTACCATTTAGAAGAATCATGGGAGGAGTGGGAAAAGCAACCCCACCTCCATACTCTACTTCCCTTTACCTTGATTGTTGGTATAAAGGCAGTGGTGAGGTACGAGCAGAGGCGAGGGGGCAGCGTCAGCTTGCTGATGTCCTTGTCATCGCGCAGGCAGCTCGCGATGCTCTGCTGGCAGAGCAGCTGCAGGCTGGACACCCTGTGCTCCACTCGGACAACGTACAGCGCAGGTCCAGAAGCCATCAGCAGCCGTGAGTCCCTGTGACCCCAGCAGATGGAGATGATAGGGCGCTGCAGGAAAAGGAAGCAGTCACAACTGTAAAGGAGCACATGCTTTCTCCCATGCAACTCTATAGCATATGAAAGTAGCACCGATTTATGTTACCCTAAGTCTTCTAGAAGGGTAAAAGGACAGGCTATTGTCCACAGGAAGGGAGAGGATTGTGAACCTCTGAAATTATCAATAACAGCAGTTGATGTTTATGCAGTACTTTTTACCTACCAGTCTTAAAGCTCTTCACACAAGTGAATTATCCCTTGAATTCATTACCTAGACGGGGAAAATGAAGCACTAGGAGGAGAAGTGACTTTAAATTCACATAATGTTGAAGAGCAGAACCTTTCGATGCCCAGCTCATATTATTTTTTCAGTCATTTAATCAATTTTAACCCCCTACTAAGGGCTCACATTTTACAAACAAAAAGTTAAATTATTTGCTCAGTCACTTAGTGAAACAGCAGACAAAATCCAACTGGTCCTCACTTCACAGCCTAAGTCTTCCACTGCACATCCMCTTGAGGGCGTTTTTTGGAACATTCACAGAAGAAGGGAACCATAAAGGACCACATGAACAAAACAAAGGATGGCCTTTCAGTCATCTGTTTCTTTACAGCCCTGAATATTGCAATTCACAAAAGTAAACACAAAACAAAAGAGGCGATCGGCATTAACTATTAGTACTCTGAGCAGTATGGCAAAAAAGCATCTCAAAGCCCCTCCTTGTACCTCAGTCCGTGCTGCATGAACATTAAGAGTCCCTGTGATGACAGTGTTTGACGCACCAATTCAGACAATTAAAAGGACCGACTTTTCATACAGTGGGTCGCCTGCCCTCTCTGCTGCGAGCATCAAATAACAGCCTGATTAAAAAACTGAACACACTGCATACTTCTACAAGCTTTAAGGGCTATGCATGTAAAGACAAGGATAAATTCAAGCTTCAGGTTGCAAATCAATCCTCATGTGTAAAACTGATGCACAAATATCTTTTAGCTTTATCTGAGACAGTAGGTTATGCTTGCAAGGAACTTTCTAAACTCTCTTTCTAAAACCTTTTCTTTATGTAAAGCACCAGTATGTTGTGACCTCTTATATACCCCATCACTATTGACTTTTGGCCTTGTGGGTATGGGATAGCAATTCCATAGTTGCTATTTCTACACGTATAAAAACACAGGGTAAGAAACTCTTAATCCATGAGGAACACTGCACAACAGGCTGCAACTAGTGCACTACAAAGCGTTTACTCCTTCCTGTGAAGTGCTCCATTCTTTTCACAACCCTGGACACCCAAAAGTTTGAGCAAAAGTGTTCCCTACTTAAATCATAGTCCATGTTACTGCAATGACACCATCACTTTGGAATGCCTGAATCTTTCACAAGACAAACAAGAACTAATCATACAGAAGATAAGGTCCACACATGATCACTCTGGTACAGCACCATACCCACATATCTGGGTTAGATCAGCCCAGAAGTTACTAATAAATCTTGGGGGAGGGAGTTTTCCCTTCAATTACAAGTCCAAAAGACAAGAAACTGTGACAAGATGCTTTTCTTGTCTATGAATGATACAAAGGAAATGCAGCTGCATGACACTCTACTAATTTCTATTAAGATAAAAGGCAGGATGAAACAACTTTCTCAGAAAAGCAGTCTCTCTGCCATGTCATCCTAATCTAAGTTTCAAGAAAGATATTGGTTTTAAAGTTGGAGGAATGAAGAAGGTTCTTTCTCATTACATCTTGGCAACTCACAAACACACACACACACACACACACACACACTTCCACAGAGGCAAAAACCTTCAGGCTGACTGATATGCAAATGGAAAGCAGCAACATGTGAACACTATGATTTTCACAGTAATTGCTAAAGGCATTTTGTAGTGGAGAACTTCAAAAGAATTGACAAATCTCTCATGTATCATCAATAATTATTACATAGCTGGTTATAACCACAAATGTGGGACACTTAGTCAATCCTCAATCTGAYTTAATTTTATATACTCAAAGTACTGAATATGAAAATTTGAAAACTCTTGTGCAGTGAGTTTACAGAGTAGATTTGAAGTGTTTAATGGTGTTTTGATGAGAGAGCACAACACCATTTTCCTTACTGATGGGTATTTTCACRGTTTGAGAACATGGCCTTAACTTTGCTACTCTCCGAGAGCAATAAGACAGTTCATTCTGTTGATAAAACCAAAACAAAACAGAACTGAAAGGATGCTGACTAAGGTCAGGTGTTGCCATACTGTATGACAGCCAGTGAAAGGCACAAGTAGCCGTGTCCCCGACTGCCTTGAGGAGAGAACAGCAGCGCGAGCCGCCTCATCATTGTGCTTCCACACGGCCTGCCTGCGCTCCCTTTGCACTGCCACAACCACAGCAGACCTCTAAAGAGGTGAAGGAATACACAGGTGTGTGCCTTAGCACCAAAACGGTTGTTTATTGCAGAGTTTAATGYCAGAAGAGGTTATAAGTCTAATATTTCAGCTATCATAACCCATTAAACATTGAGATAGCCCTCTGCTCAWCCATTTAATTGAGCTAAATAAAACCATTTTTGTTGACAGACTACTGATGCAGGTAGAGTAGAGCAGAGATACAGACAGTACGAAACTTTGCAATAAAATTTGCAGCTTAAACATACTCCTCAGGAAGAGAATTTTGGAAAGTTGTGAAATGCTGGATGGGGTCTCTGGCAATAAAGCACTGAAGAAGACTGAAGAAGAGCATAAAGTCCGAAACCACAAGACACTGCCTCCCTCCATGCTTTCCTCTCAGCTTCCCAACCTTAATTCAGCTATCTTTCAGCTTTTCAAGTGTCTGCTTACTGAGTTCCCAGACAAGCCTGGCTGGCAGTTTTTCTGGGACAGGGTTTCTACGGCACGGTCAGTTCCGTAGTGCTCTTTGAGTGTAATGGCCAGCAACACTTCATTCAGTGAAGGGCTAGGATTTAAAATGAGGTCCAGGGAGAATTAGCTCAACATTAGAAGCTTGGGGAAACAAAAGACCACCAAATACCAGATCTGGCCTGGCCTTTAAATGCACTGTTCACAGTAAGTGCCCTTCCCACTCTTCCCATTAAAGTACAAGGATAAGGACCACACACGTCAGCATGCCTGCTAACCCACAGTGCCCCTTCCAAAGTCTGCCGAGGAAAAACAAACACCCAACAAAGAAGCACTGCTCTTCATAAAGCAAAAAAGAAGGAAGGAAAGAAGCTTTTGATAATCCATAAACTTTACATGTGTTATACTGTACTCATCAAAAAATTAACAATCAGATTCTAGCACAGGAGACAATTTTATTTTTCATGTTTTCACACTTGTTTTTTTGCCTACCAGGAACAAGGAAACACAGCTACAAATGATGTGATTTCTCATCTCATTTTTCAAACAAAATCCCATCAGGTTTTGAAGGATCTCACAACAAACATTCATGTAAATGAATGAATGAATTGCAGGATTTATATGCAAATATGAAAGCCAAGCTAAACTACTATACAAACAGATAAAGGATTCAGTTCTCTGACCATTATATATTGAAAGCAATTTCCTAAGGGCCAAAAATAATATATTTTATCAGGAGAAATATTGACTATAAACACATCTCAAAAAGTGGTTAACAAAATTCTTTTGACATTTTTTTCAGTGTGAGCTTGAAAGTCAGATACTCCTAATTCCATTTTGTACACCCTAGTTGGCATGCATACTCCTCTTGTAAAAGCAAGTAGATCTGGATATGCCTGCTCAAGGCAGCACTCTGTGGTTGCTTGCTGCAAGTCACTCAACCACCTTCCGTGCAAGAGAGCAAAAAAATTATGCATCTTCCATCACCTGTAAGCTGTTCAAGTCAACGAAAACATAGYGCTGGCTTTGCTTCTAATACTTCCTTTGTACTCAGAAATCCAGAGCCCTTGGGCTTGCCTGCTGCTTGCGCTAATGCCTTGGCTACCGGGACTGAAATTCTCAGCAGTTACGAAAATAAACATAAAATGGTTATTTCAGGGCAGAAAGTCCAGCAACAAGTGATTTTTTTTTGATGCTGTTCCCTCGAGAGAGAGAATCTAATCACAAAAATTCATCCAGTGAATGGCATGCATTAAGACTGCTGCCATACAGATACACATTCTGTCTTTCCCTCTGTTTTTTTCAGAGAGACTCTGGAAGGTGCAGTGGCTGGAAAGGCCAGCTGTCTCACCAGTGAGTTTTGCTTGCCTGTCTCTCTGCTGCCATAGAGTTCATGAGTAACTCCTGCAAAGTTACATAATTTCTTGTGTTCCATATTTGCCATGGAGAGTAATCACAGTTGGTGGGGATAAAAGTAATGAAGACTATGAGGTGGTCAGAAATTCTACTGATGGGGCCTTATGATTTTCTATGGAGTAAACTCTAATTTGATATGCAGATTGGCTTCTTACATGTTCTCTCCTATAAATGTAAGCTGTTTTTTATTTATTTATTTTTTTTGTTAAGATCTCAGCAACACTATGGGAGAATGAGTCTTCTCCTAGACAAGTGTCTCCACTTTGCAGTCACGATGAGTACTGGAGGTTCCTTGATTCCTAGTAATGATCCATTTCTGTGGCAGTCAGAGTTTAGCGCAATTCTCTCTAACCTGACAACATCAAGGCCTTTACTGATATCCTGAAGAATACCTCCGCTTCTAATTCAAAATTGTTGTTCTTGTTATTCTTCCTGTAAGAAAATAAACTCTACTTGAAGCTTCCATGTCATCCAATAACAGCTAAATAGCACCAATTTCAGGGGATACAAAATGAAAGGTGATATTAATTCAGAAGCAAACCTGAACACTCCAGATGGAGTGAATGGAAACAAAGCGAGCAAGGTCTGCTCAGCTGGGTAACACAAAAGACAGTCTCTTCTTTCAAAGCCCTTAAGTTCTCAATTTAACCCCAAATTTTCACTCTCATCTTTAGGCCTTGGTAAAGTAGATTTTATAAAATTACCAGGTTTCTGTCTTGCAATCCTCTTTTCTGCTCAGGTGCTGGGGCTTTTATAGCACAGAAACAGCCCTTTGAAAGCTGCAAAGGGCAGCACTTCGAAAGCTGCACCTTCAAATGCTGCCCGCAACATATTAACAGCAGGTGGATCTTGTTCCCAAAGACTCTCAGAAATCTCTTCCATGCAGACTTAGTCTTTCATTCACCACTTTGAATATTATGCTGAGAAAAATACGATTGCAGCTTTTCTGCCTCCTCACAATGAAGTATGCATCTAACTTCTCTGCATATGATTTTGGCACTTACTAGACTCAGTTCTGTCTTCTTCGTTGCATTTTACGTTTGAATCTGTTCTTATCCTAGTTATAGAGTGGTATAAAATCATAAGCTAATGTCAATTTACTTGAGAATTATGAGTGTACAGATGAGATAAGCATCAGGATTTCTGAGTCCATATTCTTGTTCCCCTCATCCTCTCTGACATACATAAGAAAAACATAAAAAAACAAAAAAAGAATCAACATATCAGCAACACTTCTGAGCCAACAGACAGAATAATTTCACGGAGTTGGTAAAGTTGGCCGTTCAGGCAGTTCTGAAGTAATGCTGCAGGAGGCTCTTCTGTTTCAAATCCGAATGGCAAGGTACGAAGCAGCTGTATCCACTCAAAATATGGCTTTGTGACAGTAGGTCCAGTTGATATAGTAAAAGACCTACTCACATAACAAACAAGAAATTCAGAAGTGACAGAAATGGATTGCAGCACTTCACAGAATCAATTTTAGAAATACTGTAAAAGAGCCTGAACGAGCCCAATTATTATAATTGTCATCTAAGATGAATGTCAGGAAAGGTCCTGAGGACTTAACAAATAAAAAGAAATGTCTTTGTAAAAAATAAATATGCCTTTATTTTTTAAAAAAAAAATTTGACTGGCAGGGCAGCCTGCTGTTTTTATTGCATTTTTAGATGCTGGAAAAGCTAGCTAAAAGAACTGGGACTTGTTTTTGGTAGATCAGATTTGTGTTTGTGAACACAAAAGGGAAGGATGGTAAGTGAGAAGGTTTACAGAAACTGACAGTTTTTGAATATTTAGCAGCTGAGCAGCAGCTTTTAAGATATGGTCTTTGTGTGTAGTAGAAAATCAGCATTGACTCTTTGGAATCACAGTATGGATCCATTTTCATATAACTGCTCCCAGTTATATGAAGTCTGGTGTGTCTTTCTGAAGTCCCTTCAGAAAGTTCTTGGTTCAAATGCCTTTATTCTTTCAAAAAAAAACTGATTCTGCACAGCAGAAATTCCTGATTTGCCCAAYCTTTGCCAGTGTTTTCATCTCTTTCCTCTACACTCAGTAAATATATTTTGGCAGAGTTTCAAGGTGGAAGTGAACGAGAAAGCCTGTTATGCTATGCTAACTCTACCATTCCGCTTATGAACATAACTTTTCATAAGAAGTTCTGTGTTCATGTGGATACTTCAAAAATAAGTGTGATTTCCCTGTTCGGAATTTTACAGCCAGCAAAGTAGGTTTATGACTCATAAAATCCWACACTGCTAGGAAAAGCTTAAGAAAGTTAATTAAATGATATAAATGATAATCAAGTGATAGAACACCAAAAGCATACTAAAGGTGGAAGAGAAGGTGGTATATAAACAATCTGGAAGATGTTTTATATCACAACAGGTCATCACTAAGATGAGTAAACTGCAGAACTCAGTTCTCTTCTGCATTGTGGTCTGCAGAGTGTTTTAATAACATGCCAGCCAAGTCGCATGTAAATATTGCATCAGTTTTATACTGAATTATTATAAACAATTCAATAAAATTCATTTTCTCCTAGCAAGATGCTCAAGATAGACAAACAGCACAAAAATTGTCAGTTGAGTGTATTCCTGACAAAAATTTCAGATCTCTGCTTTATCAAGGGACTGGAACGGAGGACCTTACAGAAAATCAATTTTGCACAATTAATCTGCTTTTTTTGTGTGTGTGTTCAGTGTTGCTTTACCTTTTTTAACTTTACATGAGGAACAATACTCATATAGAATAAATGTGCCTTTCAAGTCACACGTGTACTTCAGAACAGTTTTACTAGAAGAGTTTGAGATGCAGAAACTCTCTTCTATTTGCTTTCAATAATTAGTGATGAATTTTATAAAATCCAATTACAGGGCTGACTGCTGTTTTAAAGAGAATTAATGGATTTACTCTGATAAATCTATCATCAGACAAATTACTATGACCACTGATTTATTCCATCATCTTTGGTTATGCATCACTGGAGCAGAATAACAGAAGCTACTAGCAATTTTTTTGCAACAACAATTTCTATCTGATGTTGTTAGTAAACCAAGTATTTTGCAATGTTCTAGCATAACCGTTATTCATCTGGTAATGTTGTTAGACCAGCATTTGAAGACATGGAAGTATAATGACCACATGAGGAAATACAGGTGCTCTCCTGAGAGATCTCACATCCTCCTGCAGCTTAATAAATCTGAATGTAAATGCACAAGAGAAAAAAAAAGAGAAATAATATTAACTAATGATTAAAGAACACGGATAGCTCTAATTTTAGGCCGGTTTACACACACAGTTCTTAGATTCATTTATCAGCTTGAATGTTACTTTTAACCTTGTTTCCTAAAGAAATGAGACTCAGTGATTTTGCTATTAATTACTGGCTGCTGTTCCCTCCTATCCTCATTTCCCTCTTTGCACATGAGGCGGCTGCCCATTTGCATTTAAAGTTGTCAAAGGGGGAAAAAATATCTGTGACACTGGAAGTTTAGTGACAATTAATAGCCAGAAAGAGGAGAAGGTTAACAGTTTCACTATGAGATACACTGCAGAATGACCCTGACAGTTACCTGTTCTGTATGACACATCAGTTGGTCCACAAGTACTCTCTTAATAGCAGAAGAGTTAGCTCTCATATCAGCCACATGTGCTGACTTTCTCCAAGCTGACTAAGAGGAGGAGAAAAGAGAAGAACTGAAAATCTGAAAAGCGATGAAAAGGTTTAGGGAGAACTGGAGGAAATGAAGATAAGTGAAAGAAAATTTGACATTATTGGAAACAAACTGGGGAAGAGAGCAGAAAGACGAGTCTGTGCAGATGAAGATCTTAAGGCAACCAGACTCCTTCACTTTCAATTGCTTAAAGATTATCCTGATTTTTCCAGGATGTTATGYTGATTAAAAGCTTAATATGGATATATCATATTCTGGTACTCAAAAACAGAATATGGTGATAGTAGTTAATTTTTTTTCTTGGTCCAGGAATTAAGCAACACTGATACAAATATGTTTTTGCCATAATTAATACTCAGAGTAAAGAACTGTGCTACTTTGCCTAAGTGGCTAAGACAAAAAAGCTGTGTGTATACATACATCCTTTAGATAYCTAAATCAGCATTAGATGCCTCTCCCATATATTTAGGTTGGATTTAGAGAACATTTTTTATATCATAAAACTAAGGAATTCTATCTAAATTAAATTGCTGGCATTAATAAGCACAGGTTAGTGCTAAATATGAGCAATCATAAAAGCTTAGCAGCCGTTTTACTATATCATCCTTTTGTTTCCACTTCAGATGGGGGTACTGAAAAATAAATGATAACAAATAGTGTCATCATTAATCATAATTAAATAAATATATGTATAGCATTTTCCTTCACTTTTGGATTTCAAAGTCATTATAAATAAATTGTTTCACTGTGTCACAGTCAAAAACCATAACAGTCATCTCTATTCTATAGAAAATCAAAAAAACTCTAGACTGACATTCAGTTTTGTGCTGAAATATCAGCAAAAATCTATGAAAAAAATTGTCTTCCTAAGCAGGACAGAGATTATGTATTGACACGTACATGTCAAATGACATGATCAAGAATACAGGAAAAGCTGTATGGTAGGCAGGAAATGAAACAGGACTTCCTGACCCAGAGCTCTGGCATATATGGACAACACCATCCTTCTCTTTCTGATGCTATAAAAAGTCATAAGCTACATCAGGAAAAAAAATGATTGTACACTATAAAACTGCATAAAAACAWCAAAAAAAAGAATAATCTTGTGGTTATAATATTGGACTTGGAATATTTCACTCCAAATCTTGGCTCTGCTACAGATTCTCTAGTCTTTTCTCCTAAGTAACTTCTCTGTAAAAGAACAGAAATTTCCTTTTTCTGTCTTGTGTTTTCATGGTGCAATGCCTTTGGGGAACAGACTGCTTCTTATTATATGAGAAATGCACAATGCTAGGTATGCACAGTACCTAACAAAATGGATCTTAGAATCTGCTGTAGTCTTGGACTTACTTGGACTTACTACCTTAATGCAAACAATAATTACTTATATCACATTTTTCTGTAAGTCATATTTCAGGATACATTAAGGGCATATTGCAAGCCCTTTCGTAACACAGGTCTATACCAGCTACTGTGGGAAGAACATGTCAGTAAATCATTAAAAATGACTTTAAAAATATGCCTTACCTGGACAGGTGTCTCCAGAGTGTAGATATGTTCCCCACGCACATTGTAGAACTTGACAAGTGCACTTTTCAACATGGAGCCRTTGCCAAGATCAGCCAGCTGACTTTGCTTCTCCATACCTGCTACTGCAAGCAAATCTCCCTGTGTACACCACTGTACCACCACATCTGAAATCAAAGATAATTTGCAATAATTATTTATTAAAATCATTAGGAACAGCATTTCCAGATGTGCCTAGGTGACTTGAGAACCTAAAGCATGCTCTCAGAGGTTACTTAGAAATTTCAAAACTTTCAGTGAAGTAAGTGAAGTATGAGCATATATGCACTCCTGGGAATGTCTTTTCTGATTTCTTTAGTAAAAATGTGTAAAAACATTAGTTTCTCTATCTCTATGGAAAGCTGAAAATATAAATCAGAGGCTAAATATTCTATCTAAGTACAAGATTTTATTACAGATGTTAAAACTATTGTGGAAGATCTTACATATGTTTTTGGAGGTAAGTGGAATCAAGCGAACACACAAACATTGTGCCCTCATTGATCAAGAGGGCAGCAATGACTATTTGTTTGGAAAGGCCTATAGTGCATAGAAGCAGCATAGTCGTCAATGACTCATATTTTCACCATCTGTGAACATAACCTTTAATATAACTCACATCTACAGTGTCAAACTGGAAAGACTTTTGGATTTTTGACCATAAGCAGATACGGCTTCCATGTCATAGGCTTTCTTTTGACAAATTGTGAGAATCTGTTTGTCTGTCTAGCAGGTATTTGCCAGAAGCATACAAAGACTGATCAGTCTTTCCTTTATGTGGTTATGAATACACATATCAGTTACTTCTCCTACAGGCAACTCATAATGAGGAACGCCCACAGCTTAATTCAGAGATGCTAATTTCAAACCCTAATATCCTTCAGTTCTTTGTCACACTTCAGCAAGAACACTGAAACAGTATATTGTGTTTCTGCTTGTGCTTCAGAATCAGATTCGCACGTGCAAGGAATACTGAGTGAGCCAAAAACCCTTCTGCCCTTAAACCAGAGCGGGAAGGCAGCTATTCTGTGCTGAGACGAAATGAAGGTAAAGACAAAACTTTCATGCTCTGGGATGCTCAATCTGCCAAGAAGCTTTTGAAGACATTTGTGGGCAAGAAGCTGTCTTCAAATGAAAAAGCAGTACAGAAAGCAGAGTTGGCAGGAAGGCTCTCAAAATTGTTTCAAATTGTCAGTTTGTCATTGTCAGGGACTTTTATGTGCAATTTTTAGTGGTTTTGTATTACTTCAAGTGTTGCCTTTCTGAAGGCATTTCTCTTAAGAATTAAGCTTTTCTACATATCGAGGGCAAGGTGCATGCTTTTTAAGATATTTCTTTCATAGACATTGTATTGTTCTTTCTTGCTCTTAGTTCTCAGCCTTCTAAGTAATCTACAGTCAGATTTAATTAATCTTTCCCGGAAAGTATTTTGATAGACACGTCAAAAATCAATAAGGTAAGCAGATCAACTCCACTTTTAGTAATTGACATATATACAGTTATCAACAAGAATAAACAATCTCCTTTGGATAAATATCTTCAGGTAAAATTCTGAGCTGCTGCCCATAGAAACAGAAAGAGGTGTGATTACTTCATCTGGAAGTTTCCCCTTTCTCTCAAGAATTAATTACTGCAAAGGCACACAGTGGTTTTGTGAATTAAAACTTCTCTCCATGCAAGGGGTCATAAGTTGTAATGAGAGTTATGGCAAAGTAAGGTATTTTTGACTAGCTAAAAAATAGTAATTTTTTGCTATAGATTAAAGATTTGGCATGGAATACTTATTTTACATGTATACAAGAATACCAATTAGCAAGATGTATTGCAATTTATTGTTACTTCTTTATTCTCTCAGAATATCTTGTCTCCTTATTATTGAAAATTCTAGCAAGATTTTAAAATTCGCGTATGATACTATAAACAATATTGTGATCCCACATGGTTACTAAAAGCATGGGAGATACTGTGAATTAAAGATACAAATTAAGCCTTATGTAGCATGAGCATTTATGAAAACAAACATAAATTTATTAGTGCATTAAACTGAAAGAAAGCAAGCATCATTTTGCTCTATATTCTCAAATATTTAAATATTTTTTCCAAAACAAGAAATCTATTACCCAAGCATTAACCTTTCACCAGTAGGTGTCACTGCTGGTAACAGCAATAACGGCAGCTACAAGCTCTTCTGAGGGATAGGAGGTGCTAGGTTAGGAAGGACAGACTCAAAAACATGAACATTTAGACACATAATTAAAAATACAAGAAAAACAGAGCATGGGAAGGGAGCCAACTGTCCTTCTGTTTGTACCTTTCAACCCTGAGCGGATGATAGTAGGAGACAAGTCATCGTAATTGTTCATTAAACTAATGTCTCCTGACGTGAAGCTGACAGTAAGCAGTGGCTTGGTGTTCTGCACCGGCACGGGATACGCAGCTGGTCCATCTGCAAGAACGAGATTGTGCAGTGAGGAAAGAGAGAACTACAGAACAGATGACACCCAGGTCCAAATACACTGTGTTTAAGTCTGTTGTGATAAGGAATGGCTCAGAGTCCCAAAACCCGCCCCTACCTAGTTAGTTCTGAAGTGTCTGTGACAAAAGCAAAGCAGGTGTAACTAGTTACTTGCTTTGCTTTTGTGAAACCCAGACTCTCTTGCCTCACCTTTGCTGTTATCCATGGAACAGCATCACAAAAATTCAAAACAACCTTGCACTCCTTGGCTATTCATCTCTATTTCACTTTAAGAATTAGATACCTTTAACTCAACTGATCTCTACGTTTCTAACACCTCCAGCCCAGGTAAAATTACACAAGAGTAAGACTACCAAGTTTCAGGAGGTAACTGAAATGAAGCATCTACCATTTTTAAATGCAGCATATCCGTAAGTGGCTTATGGATATACTGTTATGTAATATAAGAGTGTTTTTCAATCTTTGTCCACTGTCAACTCCCTAAAGTGTTTACAAATTATAAACCAGTGCTTCGAAAGGTTTCCCTGAGTGTCAAGTTGAAAAGCTACATCATAATATAAGCACATTAAAAAATCACTAGAGACATCATAAGGCATTCTGAAAGAACACACCGGCCTTTCACAAATTGCTGTATTTTAAATGTTAAGAGCTAGGCAGCAGAATGAAAAATTATATGCCATCCTACGTTACAGGATTCTGGGCACCCAAAGACAGAGATGAGTTCAAAGGTGCTTGCAAAACTATGCCTAAAAAGCCTCTTCTCCTCCGAGCTTATTTTTCAGTATTCACTGACATTCCCATATCAAATACATAATGACAAACATAACCATTTGTAGCTTTTGCTACTTAGTTCTTTTTGTTCACAAGTTCTGACAGGAAATACTCCCATCCCCCCCAAAAGTCGCTCATAAGCCCAACTAGCACCTTCAGAGTTATCAAAAATGAGACAGGGCCAGGCAACAGTGGTATCACACCCTGAACTTCTGAAAGAACTGATTAAAAAACACTTCAGAGAAAAAAGGCTGGCAATTACCGTGTATGCGTGTACAACTTGGTAAGAAAAAAACCCACCAAATTTCCATCCCTTCCTACATATTTGCATGAGTCAAAGGCTTGTCACCTTTGAGAGGTTTATGCTGCATCTGCTCTAAAGAAAACACATGATTCTGGGTATTTATTAGAAGCTGGCTTGTAGCAAGCCCATCCACCCCCGTTTGACTCAGAAAAACTTAGGATGTTTGGATCATTTAAATTCTCTTCCATGCACTCTCCAGCTCCACCATGCCACAGCTGGAACATCAGTATTGCAGAAGAGACACAAAAATCAATGTAACGCTCTTTCTTGCCCTTCATAGCTTGCTGGGATATCTGAAGAGACTAGAATCATTTCTTCCTTTTCTTCTAATATTACAAATCTTTTCCAGTACCAAAAGTGAAGCTGTGGCATCATGTTCATATTTACTTGAAAGTCAAAACAAATCATAGTTCAAAAGATGCTAGCATTTCAGATGATCATGTTATCCTGTGTCATTATTTTTAAATATATGGTTATCCTGACATATATTTAAAATATTCTGTAAAAGATGATTTTTGGATTGCATCCAAAACTACAAGAGTCCTGATCTGAGTCCAGATCTGAAACGCTGCAATGATTCAGACTCATTTTTAGTTATTATGCATTTTATTATTCACCGTAGAATCATCTTTAACTTAAATCAGACTTCATACACTGGAACACAGCAACAGCTAAACTAAATCTTGTAGACTGATCAACAACATTAACTAAAAGTAGCAATAATCTAGTATTTGGAATAGGAAGGTTGGGGGAAGAAAGAGCAATGACTGTATTTTATTCTAGCCTATGGATACAGTGACTTGTTAGGTCTTTGTTATCTACAATTTCAAAATCAAAACATTTTACCCAATGGATTTATATTTATACTTGAAGGGAAGGAAGAATTCGTGCTCTCACACAACTGAACTTGAAACAGTCCCAGTTACCCTTCTTCTGCCTTATGTAGTTGCAGGGAATACTTTCATTTCTCATCCTGATCTCTTCTATGTCAGGGTTATCAAGGATGGGACCATACTGATGGTGATTCTCTCTGCTTAATGGGATTTCTTGGAAATGAAAGAGGTATCACTTTCTAATAAGTGTGTCTTTCTGCATGATTCTGCATGTGATACGGTGTCTTTCTGCACGATTCAAAGTAATAATGCATTAACTTGTGTGACTATCCCCCGGTTTATATGCATACATATACATCACTGCAATATCTCGCATCTACTTATCAGTGAAATCTGATATGCTCTTATCTCGTGCTATCTGCTGCACTAAAAGCTTTGGGTTATCTCGTTTGTGTGGATGGAGGCTGAGCAGAACAGATGGGACGTGACTTGCCCAAGCCACACAGGGGGACAGCAGCAGCGCTGCACGTTGAACCCCGTGCTCTGCTTACCCCTGTGCCATCCCTGCAGCCCTCCAGCCTCTGCCAGCTGAAACCACAGAGGTCCTGCTGCTCCAGGACGCTGTGACCAGCCTGTGCCATTCAGGTGTCTTGCCAGGTAAAAACYGAGAGCAACTCTGAACACAATGCTACCTTGCGGTGGGGAATAGTCATCGGAGTCGGTGTCGCTCTCACTGCTGTCCTCCACCAGGAAGCTGGGGTAGTTCCAGGACATGCTGAGGATACCATCTGACTCGTGAAGGAGGACGTGGGCCAGCATTCGGCCGTGGCAGTCCATGACAATAACCTGGCCATCGGCAGTGCCAAAGAGTACCTGAGAACAACAGAAGAGCCCCAGCCAAATCAAATGTCAGCTCCCGGCACCTTTGTGGAGCACAACTTGCAATTACCCAGCTACAATGGAGAGGAATTCAAGGTAGAGCTGGCAGGGATTTCAAGATGTGCCACCATAGGACGCTGCAACCAAACATGTACACTGAGTCAAAACAGCAAAATTGAATCATTGCAACTAAGAAACACCAGAAGTAAGTAATCAGAACTTGTCCCTTTGGAGCAGATACGGTAAAAGCAGCTTCCACTGATTCAGAGCCAGCAGACAGGAAAAAACATCTTGTGTCTAGTTAATATCTGCAGAGAGATGGAGAGGAGTGAGATCCAGCTAGAGTTTCTGAGAGGGGGCAGAACACTTTGGGAAAGTACAAAGCAACCACCACAGCTGCTTATGTGACTGCTTGTCTCAAAACAAAACATGCCTATTTGATGACACTTGCAAGAGGAGAAAAAGTTGGCAGAGGAACATGAAGTAACACGGGCTAGAGGTAAGGTCCTAAAATTTCTAAGCAAGTAATTGTTCACATCAGTATTCGTTTTATCTGAATAGGAGCCTTTACGTTCCCATAAACTTGGCCATTGCTACCACTGAAATGAGCTGGCAGTGACTCCACCATTATCTTTGGATTATACAGAAGTTTCTAAAGTTGATGAAAAAAACAATGGCAGGCATCAGCTATAACAAGATCAAAAGGTTCACCTGACAAAAATAAGGTCTTGGTAGAGATTTGAAACAGCTCATGAGAAAGTGAAAGCTGAATAGAGAAGGACAGGTTATTCAGTTAATGAACAACAAGCAGAAAGGAGGTGGGAAAACGTCTTCCAAAAACAGAGACAGAAAGCAACATGATCGATCATCTGGAGGTGGATTATTATAGCCCAAGAGGAAGACAACATGTTACATGCTCAAGAAGGGATAAAGAAGAGCTTTTTACCCACCACTTCAAATAAAAAATGGATAATGCAAAGCAGAGGAGAAGGAGAGGGGAATGGGTCTTGTCCCTAAACTGCTGTTCAGCCAAAATGCACTGATTAAGGTCACACTACATTGGAATCTACAATTCCTRTTTTATGAGCATGTTCCTTCTTGAGTTTTGAGCAAGATAAGAGCCTGCACATTTGATGAATTTTAGAAAAACATCAGGAAATACATTTTCATGAATTCATGAAATGGCAAATGCATTAGCCAAGGCTGTTCCTACAATCACATAATTCTACATGAGGCAAATATGCTGTAATCAAGTTTAAAGGCAATCGTCAACTTGAAATGTAGCCAGTACAGAAAAATGAAGCTAAAAGGAGCAACAGAACTTATACTTGCCCTTCAATCTACCACTTATTTGCCGGTTTATAATCACATTTCCACATAACTTAATTTCTCTACTGCCATGTCACAGCCAGTCATACTAACGAAAGAGGAAATTGCCTACACATTGGAGAAAGTTCAAACTGAACAAACCGGAAAACAAAACAAAACAAAACAAAAAACAGTAGATTTTCCCATTTCTCAGTGCCAGTGCTTGTAAATTTAAGGAACTATTAATTAAATGCCCAGATGAAAAAAAAAAAAAAATCTAGGCCTGTATCTTAATCTCTAACAGTGGTCAAATATTCAGCAAAGAGTAAAAGAATAGGTTCCCTGAAAAAGTACATAGTTTCTGCCAAAAAAAAAAAATTCTCCTGTATTTACAGCTAGCTGATAATTTCACTGGTTAAACTTTTCCTCTTACATTGTAAGAAATACAGAATAATAATTCCCTATTTACATTTTCAACATCAGACATAATTATGTAGACCTCTATTACATAATCCCTCAGTCATCTTTTCTCCAAGCTGAGGAACTTCAAATTACCCTGTGCAGAAGTTGTCCAAAGCCTCCAATCATCCTTTCTGACCTCTCCTTTATTACTTCTACCTTCCTTTTGAGATGAGGTAACTGACTTGCAGCATTCAAACCAAGTTTCCTAGTAGATTTACATAACAGTATTTATATGTGGTGCAATCGTAATGGTTGTACTTTTGAACATTTTAGAAAGAAAGGTTTCAAAGATTTCAGATGAAAAAAAGACACTACAAAGTTTTCTAGATTCCTTGCTCTGAAAGGAAATCTGCTATAATTTTCCATGGGATAATCCACACAGAAAGTCTTGTAAGCATGCTATGAGCTGAAAATTAGGTATAGTCCTGAAATATTGGTGTTTGGTTTCCTCCTGAAGCCCATATTAATTCATATTTATTTTAACAAACCAGAATATATCTATGTAAAAAAAATCTTATTTAAACTCTGCTAACTTTCTAGCCTCTGAAATAATTTCAGACAGTAAGTTTCCCAAGCTAGCTCTGATATGTAAAAACATCTTTTTCCTTTAGTCCCTGTTCAGTCAAAGACCTATGAAGAAGTCATTCAARACTGCAATCTTCTCCAATACTCAAGTTTTAAATTCTGCACAGTTTGAAATGTACCAATTCCCAAAAGACAAGCGCTAGTCAAAAGATGGTGTATTCTGCTCTGGAGTTAATTTTTCATGAATAAACATGTTTTAGTGCATCCAGGAGGCTAAATAATTCAATCCAAGAAGAACAACTTCAACCTGACCAGTCAATTTTGCTATGTGTGTATCTGCTGTGCTGAATTGTGTCTGGACCAGAAACAGTGCTGGCGGAAAATGATTTGGCAACCTGGAAACCAAAAGAACTGCAACAAACTACCCAAGATCTAGCACACAAAAGGTCCAGCTGAGCAGTCCTCCTACTTCATAACAGAACTCTAATTTACTCACAGCAATGTTTTCTTTTTTTTTTCATTAAATATAGTCTGTTGTTACTTAATTTGGTTTAATGTACATAAAAAGAACTAAGCAACAGTAAGTAGGCTCCAGCTTTATGTTAATTTGAATACACTGATTCAGTATGAAAGGGAAAGATCCAGTCATGTCACCACATCTGACAATACACAGAAAAAAGCTGACTTCCAAATAATGACCCATAGCCTCAGCAGCCATAAAACTCAATTCAGTCAATGAGGGTAATTTCACRTTTTTCTTATATATATAATATCCTACAATAACTTATATTTGTTCACTTTTTGTTTGACTATATTTTTAAGATTAGCTAACTCTATGTTTTCAATCTCTCTTCCTATGAGAAACTGTTCTTGGCCCCTGGCCATTCTCTGGTTGCTCTTCTTCGAGCCTCCTCCGCATGGTTTTGTGAGATCACGGCTTACACTGCGCACATTTGAGGCAAGATCAAACACTGACTGCTGTAACAAAACTGTTATATTTTTGTGTTCCTTATGTATTTTGATATGCCCCAATGGTCTTTGACTGCAGGTGCAAGGTCAAGTAGGTTTTCACTAAGACAACAAGACAAAGAATTCCAAACACTAGTATGTAATTTTAACTTAGAAACTAATGCAACTTTATAGTAACAGCTTGCATTTAAATTCCTGGATACACCAAAATATTCTAAAAATTAATGCCATCTGTCATGAAAACTCAGATGCTCCAATCTCTTTCTGAGCTGTGGCTAAGATGCCAATCTTAAAGCTACTGAACCATTTCTTTAGTTATTGCTATTCCTTTTTCATCACGTAAGTGGCAGCTGGAATAACAAAGTATTTGAACACAAGCCTTTTTTTTTCCAGAAAATGACTGTTCAGATTATAAAGAGAGAAAGGGTTGTGTCCTACAATTTGCTTATTAGGCCACTGCAGCATACTGTGCTGTATTGAACTGTGAAATTTTCAAGCCAATTTCTAGAGTCTTAATTAATCTAGACAACTGTCATCTGTAAATGTTGCTAACTCACAACAATAATTCCTTTTTTTAAAAAAATAAATACACAGTGTGATGAAAAAGCAAGTCCACTCTTCACATTTTTATAATGCAAACTGACAAACTTTTACAGACCGGATCCTAGTCAGTTTTTCTATAGGCACTGCCAATCCATACACATTAAATAAAATAATATCATTGTAATTTACTGAATTAACTACATCTGCCAAATTATTTGAACAGGGAATGTGAAGCAGATATATCCCTGCTACATCAAACTTGAACAAATCGCACAGACAGCTATTTCTGTCTGGACAATCCTAAGCCATACCGTAGGAGACCCATATTGGGAGGAATTGCAACTTTTTTAAAACTACGGAATTTCTGCTGTTTTTTTTTAGCCACTTTTGCAAGCACATCCCTAAACTTGAGACACTAGTGTCACATGATTTTCTTCCAGGGACAGCATCCCATCTATGTCTTTTCTTACCAATTTACAGGTGTTTGGCAATTTCATGTTCACTTTTCACTTTAATTAGTTTCAAGGTACAGACATAAATCTTATTTACATATTTCTCAGATGCTTCTAGAATCTTTTCTAAATCTAGTACAGTTAAATAGTGCAGCCCTTTGAGACTTGGAGCACAGACTTTACCATTTCTGCTTACAGCAATGTTAAAACTTATTTAAGATCCTTCAGAATTTGTGGATGCACAAGTCAGGCAGAGGGACTTAGCATATTTCAAAATAACCAGTTCCCGACCTGCCTTTTCATTACCACAAACTTGGTGAGGAGTTTTTAACAGTAACTTGTGATCAAATAAACAGTAAGTGGCTTTTCAATGCTCCTGTTCCTACAAACCCAAACTCRTGCTCTTCGTTCTTCAAACTGTGGTAGCAACTTTGTTCTCTGAACCAGCAATTTGTTCTGTGAAATCCAGCTTGAGGCCTCTAATTTCTCATTTATTTTTGCCTACTGTGATTTATAGCTTTGTTTTTTAACATTCTCTAGTCTTGTATTTCCAATGTTTACAGGATTCCTCTTTAATCTACGTACTTGGCAAACCTTTCTCTTTCAGCATTTTGTGTTTTTCTTTGCCCTCCTATTCCTTTTTTGGATAAGCATATCCATTTGCTGAAACCTCATTATCAGGTATTGATGAACCATTAACAGTTCTACCCTGCATCCATCTCCATTTACTGCCTT